TTATGTTATGTTATGTTATATTATATATAACTGACATCCGAGAACCCGAAGCTCAACTCGTTGAACCCTAAACTGCGGTTTCGAGAGGAGCTGGAGGGTCGCCTTCCACCCCTGATGACGACGCAGAGGCTTTGCGTACCAAAAGTGGGCACGGCTGAAGTGCGGGCATGAACGTTCCATGCTGGCAGTGTTTCTCGTTGCTGTCACTGTCAATCATGCCTAGCACAATTGGTCAGGATGGTGTTGTTGATGGTGCTGTTTTGACGATGCTTGGCCTGATCATGATGATGATGAGGAGGAGGAGGAGCAGTAGAAGGCTGGTCGTGGTGCCAATGGCGAGGATGACATTCCGGATGATGGTCGAACAGTGTGATGATAGCAAGGCATGACGGACTGAGGGCCAAGGTTGTGGTGATGAAGCTTACATTGCCATCTATTGCCATGATTCTGATTCCTGCTACTTTGGTGTCTACAGTTGCGTGGTGTCTGATCCTGAGAAGGCAGGCTCCAGCATTCTGCGAGTGTCATGTTCTGTCAACCTTTTGGCAGGTCCCTGCCATGCTTTGCCGTGCGTGATCTCTCCAACCGAACCCGAGGCAGGAACGATATTGGCTTACCCAAGCTGGATGATTGGAGGTAAGGACGAAGGTAAGTTGCCCACGCTGCACCATGTCAGGCTACATCGCTGACCGATTCTTGACGGGCATTCGACCGCAGGCTGGCAAGCCGTGGCCGACACATAGCCTCGCGGCTTCGGGTACCTGCCAGGAGTTCTTCTTCCACTGCATGGCCGGGCGAGAAGGTCTCGTGGACACTGCTGTGAAGACGTCACGCTCAGGCAAGTTCTGGGCGTCAAAATTCTACTTCGGGCTTCCACTCTGTCCTCTCTAAATGTTTGGATGATACAGTAAGGATTTTTTGGGCAGGCATGGCTGTCCTTTTGGCAGGCTATTTGCAGCGATGCCTCGTGAAACATTTGGAGGCACTCAAGGTGCCTGGAATGAGCTTCTACGTAAGTCAGGGGGTGCACATAGGAACTGAACTTGCTGCGCAGGTGAGCTATGATCATACCGTGCGCGACAGTGATGGCTCCGTCCTGCAGTTTCTCTACGGAGAGGACTGTCTATCAAAGTGCAGTAGTGTGGCCCGAACGGCACCGTCTAAGTCATTGAATGGCAAGGACGGCGTCGATGTCACTCGGGCAACGTACCTTTTCAAGTTCGACGAGCTGCGGCCAGACACCCAAGCGACTGCACTTCTTGAACGACGCTGCATCTCCGGCAGCTTCGTCGTGAGTAACGCTCCCAGCGCGTAACGGCCGTGTCCTCCGTCCTCCGCGCAGCCGACATAATGTTGCCGAGACAAGAAGCTCTGGGTGTCACTTGCAACCACTGCAAGGTCCAACTTCCACTTCTTCGCGCAACCTGCCGGGTTCCAAGCGAAGTGAGGACACTGACAGCGCCTGAAGCTTGAATCTGCGTCTGACTTCGCAGGTGAAGAGCAAACTACAGCAGATGAGCAGCCCTCCGAGCTTTGTTGCTTTCGAGTTTGCGTTGATGTGCAGCTAGTGCTGGGAATCAGCGTGTAACTCAGGCCAAAGCAGCCAAGCTGTGGATATCCAGTATCTTGGCTAATTTGGGATTAGGGTTAAGTCCGGAAACACGACACGCTGACTTCGGTCCAAAGGGCATCAGCATGATTGCCGACGTTGCGGCCTTGAAGCAGTTAAGAGGCTGCTGAGTCTCAGAATCCGAGGTGTGCGCGCCTCTTCTTGGCCGCCAGACAGGCAGCCAAAGCGTGAAACTCAGTTGGCTCTCACGATGGGTAGCTATAAGTGGGGTTATAATAAAACCTTATATGGGCTATAACTATATAGTTACCCTTATGTCATTTACTCGGTAGACAATGGAAGACAACTCCAAGGATGGCAACCTCCCAAAGGCACTCGAGGCGCGTCATCTGAATGAATTGTCGAGATGGTGACCTAGCCCAGCCGCTTGCGAGGCCGTGGAGGCATTGCTGAACTTGCAGACGGAGTTAGACTCCTGCTCTTTGCTTTCCTTGCTGCATGCTTAGATGAAGTTCAGTCGATTGCTGTTTGCAGATCCCTTGAAAGCTCAGGAAGGCGCTGCGCAAGAAGCTGCGGAGCCACATCAAGAAGGGCACTGCAGCTGAGTGTGTGGGGTGCCAAGGGGGCCTCCAAGCAGCAGACCGCTTTGATGAAATAGGGGCAGAGACTCGCAGGCCAGCTGTTGAGAATATCCTTTGAACATCTTTGAACGTTCCATGTCATGGTTGCACTTGAAGCGAACAGGACCGCCTATTCGATCCCATTTCTGCAGTGCAGGGGCACCCAGCGGCTTGCAGTTTGGCACGGGCTGATGACCCTAAACGCTACCCAAACCCTAAACCGCAACCGGGCTGGTAGATCTCCCACAAAGTGGGTTCCAGACTTTTGAATTTCTAGAGGACGCAAAACCCTAAACCAAAAGCAAAAAGTTGTTCAAAACAAACCGCGAACCATCGAACGGTTTGAGAAGAGCAGGGCTCTTCGGTTTTGGTACATTTAGGGAGCAACCTTTTCACATGAGGCTGGGGCCTTCGCACTATTACGGAGCGACATCGGAGAAGCACGAGGAAGCCATCCCCTCAGTGGTTTTCTGGCTCGAAGCTTTGGTATCTCGGGGTTCGGGATGGGGCTCTGGGATTGTGGCCTCCAGAGGCCGCAAGACTTCAGAGTTTGGCGGCTTGGCAGCCTGCCTTTGCCACGGTTTAGGGGTTTAGGGTTGAAAGGGAGGTTCCCACAGGTGTTCCTTTTGCGAACGTGAGGTGGGCCATTCAGCTTAACCTCGAGCAAACCCGAAAAACACGGTAAAACTGACCCTTGCATCAGCTGCAATGTGCGCCTGGAGGGTGAAGCGCAACTGTCGCTGCATACGTATTGAGGCTCAAAAACGGGCAACTTAAACACTACACCCCAAGACCCGGGGCCCTAGGCCCTGACCCGTACGTAGAGCCTACACCCAGGCACTGCAGAAGTATCTCAAGCAGAGCACAGAGAGCGGACAGATGACCAGCAAGGAGGTGCGCTGTTGCCGAAACACTCTAGTCTAGGGGTTTTGTATTCCCTTCGACTTCCTTACTGTGGTTTACAAGTGGTTCTGAGATGAGATACCCCATGCAAAGCCCTATTTTACGGGTTAAGGCTGTTAAAGGCCCCTGCATCGGAACCGCTAACGAGTCCTTCAAGTTGCTCACAGAGTCTTCATTGAGCAGTTGGGAGTGGTCATGATGGAGCCTTGCAGGCAAAGCACTTCGAGCGTGCAATGCATCTGAAGTTTCAGCGGGGCCCCGAGCATGCATCGGCTTTCTGCGGCGGGTTTAATGTCCCAATCGGCATCCGACATCAACCCCAAGCCCTGTGGTACCTTTTAATTGTAACCCCTAAAGATCCTCAAAGGGACCTAAGAACGGAATTCTCTGCCCAGACTAGCTCCTGGCTTCCCTTGCTTTGCAACTTGCAATCGTAAGGCGCACGCTGGCCGAGCCTGGCGAAGCGGTTGGTGTCATTGCGGCGCAAAGCATGGGCTAGCGCCTCAATTCCTAGATTCTTGTGAGGGAGCTTGGGTTAAGTTACCATGTGCAGGCAGCCACATTGTTCACTGGCTCACTCTCACCATTGTGACAACTTGGACGTAAAATGGGCTCCTAGCAAGAGTTCAGATCCTGTCTTCTGAGGAGAACCGAGCACCCAAATGACGCTCAACACCTTCCACTTGGCAGGACATGGAGGCGGTGGTTCGTTCGTTCTTGTATGACTCGTTTTCAAGCAGATACAGCAAGAGCCCAAGCAGATGGGACGAGTCAAAAAGAGGCGTGGGGGTCCTGGTGGCCTGTTTGTCAGTTAAGACTCATGCTTGGCATACCAAGCCTATCCAAGCCTGGCAGCAACCATAAGTGGTATTCTCCCGCGAGAGAGAAAGGGCGTTTTTCAGTCGAACTTCCCTTCCCGGCAGCAGGTGCCAACGTGACTTTGGGAATCCCACGGCTTCGCGAGATCATCCAAACGGCCTCAAGGACTCAAAGCCGGGCCGGCACTGTGAGGGCTTTTCAGGAAGTACGCTCTTCACGCATCACGGGCTTATGCAGTCCGGAATTTGACGAACCAGCTCTATGGCGAAAGTAAAGAGGCAGGAAGCATGAGCCACACCCTCTGCTAGGAGCTGTTCAACACCGCTGATGACTGTGCCTGTGCTGAGTGATTGCCTCAGCCTGCCTCAAGAGTCAGAGGGCATATAGCACTGAGTTAGGGCGAAGCTCTTGGTAGCTCTTTTGGTGCCGTTCGGCATTTCCAGGCGCGGGTCCCGACGGGAAGCCTGCGTCGCTCCAGCAGCGAATTGCCGAGACCTGAGCTCATTGAACAAGCTTTTTGAAGCCCTTGCTCAGTTCAGCTTCCCCTTCCCTTATAATGCACGACCCTTGATCATCAAACGTATCCTTAAGTGCCGCCCCTAAATGCTCACCTGGCAACGTATCCCAACAACCAGTTGTAATGAATGAGGCCTGCTTCTCAACCCCCCTGAAGTCAGCTCCGGAGTCTCCCCAGGCAGCGGCCCAAGCGCTGAAGCGACGCTTCAGAAAGGCCCAGAGCTCATTTTGGAGAACACCGTGGGATCTGCTTTCAAAGCTTGGTCAAAGGATTCTGCAAAATCCTTCCGGTGATTGAAGCGAGAGTTGCTGCGACTTGGTGGGTGAGGGCAGTTAGAGCATGGGATGCTGAAGATGCGGATGCCAGCTGGAGGTGTCTGCGGAATGCTCGTTGAGTTAGCAGCTCAGTATAAGTACCCCTCCCCCTACGAAAAAAAGTTGCAAGAACGCCATGTCTTTCTGTGCAGCGCGGGACTGTCGCCACCACCGTGCAAGCGCCGTCTGGTCTTTCAGTTTCGAGTCGCAGGTGACGGTGATGGATTGTGTGGCCAGATTGGTCCGTGCCTTAAGCCTTCGCAGGCATCAAAGCATGAGAACCAGGATTCAACACTTCACACCTATCTTCATTGCACGTACACTCATCATGACAAATACATCACAACACCAATAGCCATGGCCAGCAGTAGTCATGTGTATGTAGGTAGGTAGGTAGGTAGGTAGGTAGGTAGGTAGGTATGTATGTTTTTCAATGTCTGTGTATATGATACTTATATATATATATATAAACATCTATCTATCTATCTATCTATCTATCTATCTATCTGTGTGTGTGCGCGTTTTTTCACGCGGACGCAGGCGTATTGGCATGCACTCACTAAACGTGGGAGGTGGCGCAGAAATCTATAGACAAGTATGCGCTCACCAGACGGGCAGCAGACGGAAAAGCTGTCCCACCCCTGCAACAAAATCAAACCACATGGAAACCACCAGAGAATTGCCAAATCTGGAGCAGGCTGTCATCAGAAGGATCATTCCAACAAGTGAAAGCTCGGTCGACGAGGGATGCTTTGTATTCCGTCGCTGGCTATCAAAGCACCAGTCAAACTACCATCCGAATGCAGGATCTCCCTGGGTATCGGCTGAGGCCATCCCTACAAACATACCCAAGATGTCAAAACACCTTCAACGAGGTGATATCGAGAGATCAGCAACTGCAAAAACAGCAATACTTTACAGCATGAAGGCCGCACAAGTGGGACCTCCACACTCAGAGATAAGCCGTTCTTGCATCATTCACTCGCTCAGGAATTGCACAGCTGGAAAGACTGCGTCTTCTGGAAGCCAGCCGCAAACTCCTCTAAGATGTAGCATGCGGGCGTGTCCTGCAAACCAAAGTTCAATAGGGCCACCTTGCAGTGCATGCTCTTCGCGCCCGTGAACGCCATTATTTCGGGCGAGATGCAGTAGTTGCCAGCTTTCAGTTGGATGATCCAGCTGCCCTCGCCTGACGAGCCTCGGTTCTGCTCGATGACGCACGGCTGGAACGCCAGCATCTTTTCGAAGCAAGCCGCAAACTGTTCTGCCGCGTAGTCTGCGAGCGTGTCCTCCAAACCAATGTTCAACATGGCCAGCATGTCCCTCGCGCCCATGAACACCCTCGCATCGGGTGAAGCCAGCTTTCGGTTTGATGATCCAGATGGCCTCTCGCCGGACGAGCCTCTGTTCTGCTCGATGATGCGCGGCTGGAAAGCCAGCGTCTTCTTCAAGCCAGTCGCAAACTCTTTTGCCGTGTAGTACGGGAGCGTGTCCTCCAAATCAATGTTCAACATGGTCACCTTGCACAGCGTGTTTCGTGACCGTAGCTGGCAGACGCACCATGGCGGGTGCTGGGATGCAGCAACCTTCCGCGCTGTGCGGCAATTTGAGCCCCGACATGTATATATTTATATCTACATGCACACTGCATGTGTGTATATATATATATAGAGAGAGAGAAAGAGATAGTTCGTTCACACACACACACACACACTCTGGTGACCCAAAGCCCTTATCCACACTTAGCCGTAGTGTGAGTATGTGTGTGTGTGTATATATATATATATGTGTGTGTGTGTGTGTATACGCCTATCTGCATGCATGAAGGGTTGAATGTGTGTGTACAGACATGCAGACATGCAGAGAGACAGACATAGAGACATGCTGCATGCTTATTTCATGCATGTATGCATGCATGCATACATACATACATACAGACATGCACGCGTCCGTACATGCATGTGTGTACTTTATGCATGTATATATATATATATTACATATATACCTGTAGAGAGAGAGAGAGAGAGAGAGAGAGAGAGAGAGAGAGAGAGAAAGATAATTATAGACAGAGAGATGGAGAGAGATGCGCAAACGACAGCACGACAGCACTTTCGTTTGCGCCTAAGGTCGTGAACGAAAGCGTCCGACTCATCGGCTCCAAGGCTGCTGGAATCCCAGCTGTAGGCTTTGCAAGGAGGTAGGTAGGTAAGTAGTTAGGGTTTAGGGTTTAGGGTTTGCTGTAGGCTTTGCAGGGAGGTAGGCCCAGGTAGGCAGGTAAGTAGTTAGATAGGTAGGTAGGGAGGTAGGTGGAGGGGAGGATTGAGGGCAGAGAGGTAGGTACGTAAGTAGGTGGGCAGGTAGGCGGAGGTAGGAAGGCAGGTAGCTACATCTCTTTACACGAGTTGTGTTTTCATGTGTAGGTGTGTATACTCTGTAGATATAGACATATGTATGTAATATACGTATCCTTATATGTATGAGAGAGGCCCCTTTAGGGTACATCTGAGGCCTGGGTTCTTTTCCTTTAAATAAACTAGAACTGAATTCACTGAAAAAATTGAACGCCAGGAGGTTATTTTCAATTATTTGAATTCTTGCGGCCACCAAATATTTAAAAGTAATTGAAATGATTGAAAAACAACCCTCAATGCTTGAAAAGGGAAGCCCCCACGGTTTGAATAATTCCAATAATTGAAAGCAGGCCCGATTTCAATTAAATCAACTGTTCAAATTCTTGGGGCACCCAAACAATTGAAATGGGCCCCGATTTCAACAGTTTCAATTATTTAAATCGTGGGCTTTTGCGGAATCAGAGCCAGCAAAGAACGGATTCAATTGTTTCAATTCTTGGGGCCCCCGAATGTTTGAA